GTTTGAGATGGCAGAGTGTGGCACAATAAGCTTGTTTCTCTCAGTGAGAGTAGTCTAACAAGCTAACACTCAGGTTTTTGGGAAAATTTTACCTGAATTGATTTGTTCAAGGTCACATAAGGGCATGGTCACACCACATCGTAGCCCCGTGATTTTCCTTCCGCACAAAGGGTTGGCAAAAGCTGGTGATGTCAGTGCAGTCAGCATTTTCTCCATGCCCCTGAAGCCCAAGCTATGCTTTAGTAGTATTTGTTGGTCCCATAAATGTTTCTTGCTACACTTCATCCATGGCTCAATTCCAGGGACCGAGTAAGTTGTCTCTATATATAGCTGATGAAACACTTTGGGGTCTTCTGACAATGACAGTTGTTACTGTGAAGCCAGAAAATTAATTTTTTCTATTCTTTCTTCATTTTTATTTCCAAACCTGTTGTTGGAAATAATATACTTAAAAAATAGCCACTGTCTAGTTAATATCACCACATATGACTAGCATGGAGAATTTTCAGAGTCAAAGTTTGTGCCTCTTGGTGCTAAATGTGGGAGGGCTAAATATGCTCAGTGCCCACAGTGCTTTTCCTTAGCTCAGAGAAAATCAGGGTTTTGTTCCCAGATATATGGCTCAGTTCTCTTATTTTTTTCTGTTTTTCTTATGTATGTGTTGGTGTCAGAAATATTGAGTTTAAAGTTTATTCATACTACCTTTACAAAATGAATTTAATTTCTTGGGTTTTTTTTCTTACAATATAGTGTGTTTTTTACCTTGAAGGCAGCTTATATTTATTGTATGGCAAAAAAAAAACCCTGAAACACCTCTAATAAATGATGAATGCATTTTATAGCACACCTTACCTTTCTGCTTAGCTTTGTTAGGGAAATTTATGCATAGTTTTTAACATAATCCAATGTTTTGGCCCATCTAAATAATAATTTTCTTAAATAATTGAGGTTTATGTTGGTTGAGCTTTAAACTAGTGGATATTTGCTACAAGTAAAAATAAATTTTATGCACAAGAGACAGTTATAGTATGCTTTGAAAAGAAAACGCTTTTTGATCCTTGTTTTAAGATTCTAGTAACAGTTTACACAGAAGAATAGTCACTTTGAGTTTATTTTCTTTTAGCTTTCATTGACTTCTTTCTTGAGAAAGCATCCTACTGTTCTTTTTCACAAAGAAACAGGCTGTGACTAGGACAAGATGATTACTTAAAGACTCAATGGCTGATTGAGCTCTCATATGATCCTTTGTCTTCCTGTGGCCTTCCTGAGACAGTTTTGGCAGATATGAACTATTGTGTTCCTACACAGAAGTGTTACAGCTCAAAACTAATGGTGACCATTTCCATGTCAGTTGATTGTTTCACAAGCAATTGTTTAAGTAGAGAAATCTGGCTCATTTCTTATTCTAGATCTCATTAAGTTCAAATAGAAGGATGATCTAGTGAAACACTCTTGCAGTGTTCAGCATTTTTGAAGTTTTAATAAAAGTTGTCAATTTATTCTACAATTCTATGAGAGGGAAGCATAAACATGTTGAAGGATTGAAAATCTGAGAAACAGTAGAAATGCAAAGGACAGTTCTTGAAAGAACGATGATGGCTTTTGACAAGTAAATGAATGTTAAATATAAACTCTGTGAAAACCTTGAATTTCATTAAGAAGAATGATAGAGATTAATGTCTTTAGGTAGAAAAGCCCTTTGATTCTCAAGGAGCTTCATGAAAAGCATACTAGAAGGCCTTCACTTGGGTGGTACTCACTTGTGTGAACTCACAGACCTGCTGCTGCTAGGAAAGATCTGTCCTTTTGGTGCTCCTCATGCATGGGAAGTGATGCCTGTTTGCCATAATGTTCTCCTGGGTTCGAGGCACCATTCTTCTGGATAGGCTCCTACTAGTGGATATGTTAGCATGACCTACATCTGCGCATCTTCTGCCAAATAAAAGACAAAAGTAGTTGACAATTCAGCTCTGCCATCTCTACTCCTGATCTCCCCCTGCCACCTTATTTTTTCTAATCTGTTTGGCAGTCATGAATATTCTTTTGTCTTGCCTCATTGTAAACAACCTATGTCATTTCTGCCTTTAAATATACTTGCTGATTTCCAGGTGTCTTGCCATGTCAGCTTAAGATTCCCTATTCATTTAGTTCATTGTGTTTCTTTTTCTCTCTGTGAGACTTTTGTCCGTTCTTTCCTGCTCAGGTTGCTTATTTCTTTTTTGGTTTTATTTTCATTCTCTTTAGGCACACATGGTTCATGGCTACACAACTCTGCCAGGTATATTCAGGAATAGTCCTAACCTACCTTGAGTGTGTGAAGAAGTTGGGTGAAGCAAAGTGTTTTATTCATAGTACTGTGCTAGGCACAGCTTTCCTTTTCTCTTGCTGAGCTGAAAGAGGCAGCTCCCTTTCCGCTTCATGTTTGGCTCTCTTTCCAGTTTGGACCTCCATTCATATGCTTCTCATTACCATCCACAGAGTTTATAAAATTAAATTAAAGTAGTAAACAAAGTACCAGATACTACTCCTAAAGCTCCATCTATAAATATCTCCCCTGCCTACTCATACTGTCTGATTAAGAGGCAGAAAGCAGTTAGAGAACCTAAAGCAGGTTAGATTCCATCAACATAGGCAGGATTTTTTTAAAAAATGGGGCAACTCCATTTAGCTTCCTATTTCATAGGTAAAAAGCCCAATATTCCCAAAATGCACACTGACCATGTTGAAGGCTCCTATTTTGACATTTTCAGAATTAAAAAGATTTTTCATTCTGAAACACTTTTAGATCCAAAGTGGACTAATATAACAGAGCCAAATTTTTAATCTCTCAGACCAGGTGAGGGATGCTATGGTTCTGGCTGTTGGTTCCTAAGAACAGTGAGGGCATTTTTGTTTTATTTGCTTTGTTATCAAGTAGTGTTTACCTATGTACCAAGTAAACATATAAAAATGAACAGTACCTTTGCAACAGTGCCTACCTGTATTTTGAGAAAATCCAGTTATTTTATGAAAAACTTAATAACCTTTTTTAAGAATTCTAGAAAATTTGGGTAAAATGTCCTTTGGTTTCTAGAAATCTAGACATGGGTCTGATTCCAGTCCTAATCCACAGTGTGATTGGATATTCTTTGTCAAAGAAATTCTTTGCCAAAGCACCTCAGTTTTTATTTCGTGACTGAGGTGGGTACCCTGGCCCATATTAGAGGGTTAGGACCAACAAATAAATAGGGTTGTAGCTAATACCTCCCTGTATGAAGCCATCAGTACCTGTAAAGCTCATCTGTATTGCACAGTGGGGACTGGTGCAGAACCATTTCCATCCATGTAGATCCCCAGACACAACAGTGCCAGGAAAAGGCACAAAATTGGCTGCGATGGCTCCCCTCTAATGAGGGAGTGCATGGAAGGTCATAGGTTTCATCAGTGCAGGAGAGCTCTTTGTATGGGTCACAGCATTACGATTTATGTGTGTACTTCTAGGACTCTTCTGACTTCTTCCTGCATTTCCTTTAGAAACTTCTCCTGTGCTCTATATAGTGAATAAGAAGAAATAGTTTTACTGACTTTGAACGCTTGAATTATCATTTAAGTGCTTGCAGTTAGACTTGTATTGAAAACCAAAGGTTACTACCAAGCTGTAAAAATGAACCACACGAGTTATACCAGCATACATATAATGTGTACACACATGGATTATGTTGTTTTGTAATTACTATTTGATCCTGTCTCAGAATATCCTAAGAGAATGCTCATCTGTGTTTGAACAAAAAAAGGCTAAGCATAGCATTTACTTTGTTATATAGATAGATGGTTAGCAACCTTGAGAGTATTTGCACTGAGCAAGTGAAAAGCATGTGGTTCTGTCTGGCTGCTTAGATTTGGAATTTCATTTTTAGACTGTTTCTCATAGTATGTACATCAGTCTTCAGAAGTTCAGCTTGCTATTATTGCATGATTTGTTGCAATCGTCTTCTGAATTCCAATTTGCAGCCTTAGTGCTACATTTACAAAGTCTTTTTGAGCTGAGGAATAGTATTTTCTGTGCATGTGTGCACATTTTGCTGTTTGCTGGGAGTTAAGGGATAGTAGGCAAATTGGAAGAAAACAGTGCTTTAGTTAGCAATGTGAAATGGAGGGCATACGCTGTCTAGGTGTAAATTGTCCCGGTCATTTATTCCCATTGGTTTGGAGACATACTGAGACTTTAATGAGCACAGTTTTCCCTTAACCTGGTTTTGAAAGTTAAGGCTTCCAAAAGCTCAGCTTTGGTGAGCATTTTCAGTTTCTAGGTGAGGTTGGTATTGTATCCAGTGTGGATGCCACTAGAGAAGATGACCTTGGCGGCTGATAGGTTCGGGCATTAATGACAAGCTCCATGAAGAACGTAGTAAACTTGCCAATTCCCAGAAGAAATATTGTTGCCAAAGCAAGTGAAATGAGAGGGCACGGGAGATGCCAGACATGCTTGCCGGGATGCTTGATCTCAGCGCTATCCTTTTAGATTTTGCCCTGTGCAAAGCACGGGGAAATAGTTCCTGCCACACGCTTGTAAAGTTACTGGTTCCACAGAGCTTTGCATGGGCTTCTTGGTGCCCACTTTTGGGTTTACTGAGAGTGTTATTTTGGCAAAAACGTGTGCTGCTTTTAAAAGTTGTTTTTCCATGCTGTCTGGTGAACTCCAGACCTTCTTCCACTGGAAAGCAGTTAATCGCTTGGGTGTCCTTGCTGGGCTGGCTCGTGTAATCCTTAATCTGCAAGTGCCAAGTGGCTCAAGGCGGGACACGGGCTCAGACGAAGGCTAAGCAGTGTCGGACTGCATTAGCAGGTGGCAGGCGGGCCTTGGGGAGCGAAGCAAACCGAAACAAAGGGCAGGTGCGTGTGGGGCTGGCAGGGCGGACGGGCGGGCCCTGCGGCCGTGCCGGGGCGGCGGCGCTGCCCGCCCGGGGCCGCGCCCAGCGCCACGTGACGGCCCCGCGCCCATAATAAGCGGCGGCTCGGAGCCGCGCCGGGCTCCGCCGCAGGTCAGCCGCAGGGACAGGGCACCGGGGAGGAAGGTCATCGCAGGGCAGTGTCAGCCTCTGCTCTCAGCAAGATTAGTCAATACTCATTTCCTGTCACCTTGCAAAAAGAAAAAAAAAACAAGGAAAAAAGACACTGCTACCTCTCAGCAAGTACACGAAACTTAAATTGTAGTAGAAGCCACAGCAGCTGAAGGTGATCCCTGGGTAGCATGAATAGCATGAATCAGATAGAAACAAACATGCAGTACACCTACAACTATGAAGAGGATGAGTACATGACCCAAGAAGAAGAATGGGACAGGGATCTTCTCCTGGACCCAGCATGGGAGAAACAGCAAAGGAAGGTCTGGAAATAATGTGTATCTGTCCGTGTGTTCTCTGTGGAATGATGCCCTGTCTTACTGCCATGCTGTGTCTGGAATTGTCGGGTTCTAATAAAATATATTTTACATTGTATAAACCATTTATATAATGTATAGTAGCTATGCCTTATTTTTAGTATACAGCAGTCCGTTTTTTAATTCTTAAGCGAAACCTATGTTAGATGAAAATAATTAATGGGAGTCAGGAGTTATTTTTGTATTGCGCTGCGAGTATTCTGTCAGTACCTCTAGATTTATGGATACGAATTTCAGTAACTTTTAACTTTACTTCCTGGGTCTTCCTATTGGAAAGCAGACTGAATTGATTTGTATGCCTGATTGATTTTCAAAAAGAGTAAATTGCAATTTTAAACAAAGATGAATGAGATAGTTCAAAATTAGTGTGCAGAAAACTTTGCAATATTTCTGAGAGCAGACTGAGAAGTCACTTTTGAAATTGCGATCTTGCAAGTTGGGTCTTATTAGAATTTATTATTTATCTCCATTCTGACTGAATCACCTGACAAGGAAAATATTGCCTAGAAATATATCCAGGCTATATTTGGAAAACTGTATGTCATTATTACGTTCCTATCTGCCAGTTTGCTGTCTGGGGGGAAAAAAACCAACATGTCTGTAAATTCCTCGGAATACACAGTTTAGAAGAAATGCTTCTTGCGTTGTAGGTGTAAGAGAACTATTTTGCCACCAAGTACTGCCTATGTTCTTTTTCTGAACATAGGCAGAAATTGTAATCCCAGCTGCAGTCACATCAATGCTTTGGTACTTTAGTAATAGTTGCAATATCTAATTTCATAAAATTAAGTTTTAAGTAGCATATGGAAAGGAAAGATGAAATAATGCAAAGGATTTATTGCTTCCTAATTTAAAAGGTGATGTTCAAGTCACAGCTGACAGATCTGGGATTAAAAGGTTATCTGCTGGTTACAAGAATGAAAAAAAGGGAGGGAGTGAGAGACAGTGCTCTGGACAATGAGGTTGAATATGCATTTTGCGTAGGTGAGCAGCTTAAGTAGAAGGTAACAATTTAGATCTAATGACAGTCTCTCCCACTGTTACAGCTTCTATAAAAGATATGCTATAAAAATGTAGTTATAAAAGTTAGAGCTTTAGAATAGTTGGGACCAGTGGGTTTGGTTTTCCATTAAAATTTGTAGAAGCAATATTTTCCTCTCAGATTTAGCTTGTAGCCTTTCTCCTTCTGTTATTTTTAGCTGGTTTTGTTAATTTTCTTAAATTCATACCTGTTCAGATCCCACTGTGTGAGGATAAGGGGAGAAGTTCTGCTCTAAGTTGAAGTTCACTTTTCTTGATCTACCAGCTGCTGCAACTCCTGACTAATAATTAAGTTGTACTCATCAACACAGGCATTTGTTTTAATTTGGCACTCTTCAGATGGTGAATTATACTTTCATGTTTTATCATGAGAATGAAAATTAGTGCTGAAGTGCTTTAGTGATTTGAAACTGCTCAGTGTAAGAGGTTGTGTTACATCTGATTAGGATTCAATTGTCCATTATTTCAGAGAAAGCTGTTTTCAATAGAAAATGGGCAGGTTACTAGATACTAATGCAATCTAATGCAGTTTTTCTCCAATGCAGATAAATGTTAAAAAGTAAAGAGTTTGGATTAGGTAGACATTCTTATAATAAGTCTCTTGATTCTTACAGGAAAGTGGGGAGCAATTAAACTGCATTGAAAATTTTATGTTTCCATTCCTCTGAACAAGCAGTACTTCAGCAGAAAGTCAAACTTCCACACTGTCAAATTAAAGCAGACTCTGCTTCCATAGAATAGAGTGTGGTTTTGCTACTTAATGTTGTCAGTTCCCAGGGTTTAGTTTTAATATTAATTTGATACCACATTCAAATAAAATTTACAAGAGGGGAGCCTTATTCTTCGTCTTGGAAAGAAATCTGAGTTTAGTATTATGTGAAAAGTAAGTACTCATATGATAAAGGGCCTGATAAACTTTGTAGAATGTCAAGGCTTCTATCTTTTCCTAATTTATGCCAAGACAGTTGCAGAAAGTGCTTTCTTAGTTTCCTTATTCATTAGGAGAAGACTGCGAGTACATGGGCACAGATATTTGTTCTAACTGGTAATACAATATTCAGAAGTGATCTTGGAGGAGCCCTGGCAGTTGGCAGCATATATTTTCTATTAGACAGCCTTGGAACAAACCAAAAATAAATGCCATTGTTTCTATTGTGGGCTGCCCTCTCCAGACTTGCCATTTCAGTGATATGCCTGGTATGAAATCTGTCAACAGATGCTGGTAACACATGATGACATCCATAGGATTACAATGGAGGTGACGCCTAATTATAACCGTGGTTCGTAGAATATTATGGTCTGCTGTAATCCAGGCTCCTTGGTGGTCGCAGATGTCCAAAAATACATTAAGAACACTAAAGGAAGGAAAGCTGAGTTGTAGTTTAGCACTGTCTCTCTGCATGTGAGCAATTTAAATGAGTTGGTTGAGGTAAAATTTAGCCTCTGTCAATTCAGGATATCAAGAAAATGCAACAATTTGCCCATTTTTGCATTAGACGCTCTTGGCAAAAACTTAAATGTGGCTGGGCATTTCAGATGGCAACTTTAAAGAAAGCAAAAATTGTAGTTTGGATGGACATGCTGTAGAAAATAATTAGAGCACCATGGCCTTTGTGTCTTTTGAATATGTAGATATGTACTGTAAGAGACTTCTGAAGTCTGCTTCTTGACCCACTACACTTCCACTGCCCATGTGTGCTAAAACAGCAGCTGAAACATCTATGAAAATGGCCCCTTGTTTCTTCAGTACTACACAGAAATAGAAAAGTATTGGAAGTTAGAAAGCCTGGCCAGAGATGGTGGGATTATTTTCTTCATTCTGCTCTGTAACCCTAGACTAGGTCAACTCACCTCTGACCTCAGTTTTCTCACTGGTAAAAGGAGGACAGCAGTGATGTTTGTAAGAAGTGGTAGAAGTTGTTTGTTCTATGGTCTGGCAGACTAGAGATCAGCTGTCTTTTATTTCTTACCCTGCTAGACTGGAGTGGAAATCATACTAGCTTATAATGGAAGACTTAAAGCATAATTTATCTTTTCCTCATAATGTATTTATTTCTTAAGTTTTCAAGAAAAGTTCAAGACTCCACAAACCTTTTCGTTTTTCCTTCCCTGTATCTCAGTAGAACTAAAAGGAACATAAAGAAGTGCAGTGTCCCTTAGTTTAGGAAACCAAGCACAACAATGCTACTTGAAATGCACACACACCGTATTTTTGCCATGTTTTTTGATCTGCCAACACTGCTTGGTCAGCCAGATGTATAATGTGACTCTTGCCTATTTGCATCTAAGAGTGAGTGTGCTTTTTAAAACTTTGACATGAAATGTGGTTTGTTGGATTTCCAAGGAAGGTTGTAAAACAAGTGTGTTCCCTTTTTCAGGACAGTTGTATTGCAAGGCATTAAACTGAGCTCACACATTTAACATGTGCCTTCTGCAGTCATAAAAACGTGTCTGACACGATTGCCCTAACACATGTAAGGACAAAACTGGGAACACGTTCCTTGCCATACTGACATTGTTATAGATGAATGATCTTATTCTAGCTTGCTCTGTAGCCCTGGTGCCACTTCTTTGTTAATGCAGAAGTTAATGTAAATGATGACCATTTGGATGGGGTATTTATACTCGTACAAAATAACAAGATGATTTAAAATATTTATTTACTTTGATATTGCCCTCTTTCTGAATGCAAATCTACTTGATGGCACTGAACATTGTGCATGAGTGAGGACTTTGGAAAAGATTCTTAAGGAGAAAAGCTGTGTCTTTTCAGTCTTCAGCAGTGCATATCAGATTACTTTTCCAGTGTGACCTATAAGGATTTATCTGCATTACCTCCTTTGGCTGGTAATATAACTCTTGTTGTCCTTGCAAACAGAAAAAAAAAAAAAAACCCAAAAAACCCCCAAAACCCCCAAAAAACCCATATGGGAGTCACGTGTATGGCAAATTATTTGGCAGGAGCCATCAGAACTATGGATTATGGACAATGTTCTTATTTTTATGTTGCTGCAGCTTTATTAAGTTCAGCAGATTTGAGAGGTTCATTGCAGCCTGAAAGAGAAATTGACCTTGTGTTCAGTCTGACTTCAGAGTCTATTTATAGAGTTACAGTCAGTATCCTGGATTTACTCTAAAGTTTTCTTGGTCTTCTATGGATGGAATCTAACTTGCTTTCTTATCAGAAACCTCTTCCTGTAGGAATTCTACTGGTGGGTGAGAAGACAGATATAGTGGAAAGGAGCAACTTCATTCTTCATTGGGCAAGAAAAATAAGCAAAGATGAATGAATGAAGAATAAGTACAAGACCGAAAAGTGTTGGCAGGATAGGCTGATGCCACCAGCAAAATTAAGTTCTACAGAACCACTTTTCATGGATTTACAGGCTCCAGATTGAAATTGTTGTGGAGAATATAACAATATCCTCATTGTGTGGAGGGCATTCCAGCCTAGGTCTTCCTCTTTTATTGAGATTATCTGGAAGTAAAATTGGCTTGGGTTTTGTTTCGTGGGTATTTTTGGTTTGTTTTTGTTTTTTGTTTTAAACCATGTAAAATTCTTTCCTTGAGTAATGAGCCTTGGGGTTAGGCTCACACGGCAGACATAGAAACCACCACTAGAGGGTTTTTACTGAGGTGGCACTTTTTACCCACTTGGAATACCAGTGTGATTGTTGAGAAGGCAAGGGTTCCCCTCTGCAAGTGAGCAACATGAGCAGGGTCTGGACATGAACGTAGGAGGTGTGAGGAAGCAAAAGGTCCTCTCCTTTCGAAGAGAGTATGAACTTCTCATTACCTAGTACTAACCTGTTAACAGTTACATATCTCTTGTAAAGAGGGTATTTTTATGAAGAGTTGAGTAGCTTTAGAACTACCTTCAAGAGGGGATTGAATATCCCAGGAGC